TGAATTTTTCGGGTAAGACTCCAGTTGAGTTGATAAGTTGGACCATTTATTGGAGAGATTATATGTGCGGACACCGAACACAATTCACTGTTCAGAGACGAATCAGAATGCGCCACATCAGCGTTACCGAGCAATACCTAGCCGTGTGCCAAGCAGGGGGTGACGTGGTGCTTTCTGATTGGTATCCGGACGGCGTTCAACATATGCACATAATAATTTCACTATTTATTGATTCCTTGTGAAGTGAAGAAGATCCATAAAACGTGAGAGAAAAAAATATAGGAGAGTTTTCTCATAAAAGACTTATCAAGCTGAATTTATAAAATTTAAAATTTATTTTAAGAAGAATACAATAACTAATTAATCCATAAAATCTTTAAAAATATATAAAAATAGTTTTTCATAAAACAGTAAAGTTAACCACTTCCATGAATTAAATGAATCCCATTATTTTTTATAAAGTATTTGCCAGCAAATATCACAACCAAATGTTCATAAAATAATAAAATATAAAAAAAAATATTTATCCTCAGCGACTTTGCAGTTTGCCCCCAACGAAATCCGCTATCATCGCCTCCATTTAAGGATTGACTCATCTGATGTGCAACAAATATCAAAATGCCTGCACGTTTTTTCTTATTATTTATTTATTAGCTTTTTAGTTTCTATTAATATATTATAATTATTTTGAGTAACGAAATTCAAATTTGATACATATAAAAATTTTGATGATAAATTGCCATTAAATTAATTAAGTACTCGGCTTGATCATGCACGAATCTAGATGAATATTTGAATAGGAAGTTTCTACAAATTCATGATCATCTCAGATCTGATTTTAACAAATTTATAGTCAAATTAAACGTCTTGACAAGTTGAACCCATAGACTCTAAGAGTGATTCGATGCAGGCTCTAATTAGCCCATACAAAGCACATGAAAGTATAATTAGAAATTTTGGATTAGTTGAAGCACCAAATGATCAATCTTCAAATATTGCAGGCTTATGATCAAAATGAGCGCTTCGAAGAGAGAAATCGATATGAGTCGCACTTAAATAAAAAAGAACTATATATAATTAAAAAAATCAATATGAGTAGTCTAATTTAGCGTTTTGAACTTTGATTATATTTATGAATGGTGTATGTTTAAAAAGTATAAATAACCCTTCTTTTCTACATGATCGGACCCTTGGCTTGATATTCAAGATGGCTGAGAGGTTTGAAGATCCTTTAAGTCTATTAGGCCATCAATTATGTTGTTGAAACACCGCAAACAAACAAGTTTCACCCAATTATTGTCGTTCAACCATCACTATTGAACCATCACAGTTTGATCAGTATCGTTGAACCACGCACTTCAACTACTATCATTCAACTACCACTGACAGACCAACACCGTTTGAACACTGCGGTCAAATCTTTTCCATCTGACAATATTTTACAGTCCTATCAACATTGCCTGACTACACCTATCCAAACACTATGATCCTTCGGCCATCATCACATATATGTAGTTTTCCAATCATTGTCATCCCAATGTGATTCTTCGACCATTGTCTTTTGTATGTGATCATTGCATGATTATTATCATTTGACTATTGTCATTCTATTAATGTTTTTCGACTACAGTTTCCTGATTATGATCCTCAAATCATTGTCGCCCAACTACAATCCTTTGTCCACCATCGCTTGATCATTATTTCAATCGGGCCATATTCTCAGATTTTTCATTATCCAAGTTTTCCACGTAATAATTCTGGTATCTCTTATATTATTACTTTATCTTTGTATATGAGGGATATTCTTATAAGAATAAAACATTGAGGCTTCGTTTGGAACAGCTTTCTTATTGTTTTTTAAAACAGCTTTTCAGTTAAAAATATAATTTTTATACTAGAAAGCTGTTTTAAGAAGCAGTAACAAAGTCATCTCAAACAATACCTGAGTATTATCTCTCCATTATTACAAATTTTTAGCACGCAACAACTCTAATGCCATAATTTGATATTAAATTAGCTCAATGTAAAAAAAAATGCTAATATTTGAAAATGGCGAGTATGCATTTCTAATTGATAATCTTAAAAATGTAAAGTTTTACTCTACCCATCAGGCTAAGGATCTAATTTAATAATTTTCTATTTTTATTTTTTCTCTCTGTTTGGAATTGGCGGTTGGCATTAAGGCCACGGAATTGGGACACATGAATGCATTTGGACACGTTAGAGTTGTTGAAAATGAAAAATAGGAACTCAAAATTCATTTAAATTTTGGCATGAGAAATTTGGTTTTGTCTAATAATTTTGTTATTTATTTGTTTTTTTTAAATTAAATGTATTTGAAAGTTAATTTTAAATGAAATTAGCACCTTTTTGACACAAGGAATTTTTATTGAATTTGATCACAAATGAAATTGGTTCAAATTTTTTCAATTCTAATTTTTATTAGAATTGGTTCGAACTAAGTTTCAAACTTCTCCGTTCCCGTCGATGCCCTCAACAAGATCATGTCGCATAACTCTCATTCATGCTCTATCATCATTATCGATGGCTTTTATGTAATTTTGTACTTCCGCCCAATCATCGGATCACTGCTCGACTGAAGACCACCGCTCAGCCGCCAATTGTTGCCAAACTTTCGCCCAACCGTCGTTGGACTACCGTCCGACCACTGGTTGTCACCGGACTACTGCTCAACCGTGGACTGTCCCCATACTTCCGCCCCAATGCGGACCATCACTGGACTTTCCCCCAACCATCTTCGAACCACCACCCGACCGTTGACCATCGTTGCACCACTGCATGTCTGCGAACTGCCACTGAACTTCCACCCGGTTGCTAAACACAGCTGGAATTTCGCTCGACCATCGCTGAACCACCGCCCAGCCCCGATGATTATTGCCGCAGACTTTAGTCCCACTAACCTCCGATTGGCCGCTGACCATAGTCCCTCCAACCACCGTCGTCCAACTACGATCCTGCTGGCTGAATGAATAGACCCATACTCTCTTGAGAATAACTCTCATATAGCTAGATTCTTCCAACTCTATATGATTTATATTTAATATATAAAGCCAAGACCTTCCAATCATGAAAGGGCATCTTTTGTAATAAAAAATAAATAAACACTAGTGGAACAATTTCAATTGTGCTAAGCCCTAAGCCCTCTGACCTTTTTTCTTTTTTTAGAGTTTTTCACGTAAATGTCTTGGTGTCTTATATGACTGCCCCACCCCTCTCTTTATCTATCCGTGTGGTGAATTTTTGTATAAAAGTTGGGCACTAAACTCTATATCTCTCTAATGTCGAAAATGTTCCAATCCACGACAGTCATAAGAGGTAAAACTAATTATAAAATAAGATTAATTTAAAATCAGTTATAAATCTAATTTAATACAAGGAACAAATATTTATTAA